TGGGATGTTGTTAATAAACCTTATTGGTTGAATCAAATTCGTGAACTCCATAGCAAGATCTTTGAAGATTTAATGTGAAAATTATGTCGTTGTTAGTTTTCCAAACAGTAATAGCTCAAGCGGTGTAGGATTATACATTGATACAAAGTTCTTGTTCGTACGTGAACCAGTAGAGGATAATAACATTTGCATCAAATACATTAGTACTTATGATATGCTTGCAGATCCAATGATGAAATGTATACCGACCAAAGTTTACCAAGAGCTCGTAACGAAGATGGGATTTACTAGAGACCTTACATGATGGCATAATGCTCTTATGGATAAAAAATGTTATTATAAAAGTTTCCTATAATATTTTAGTTGTTTGTCTATACTAATGAATGCATGCACTTATTGATCCATAGACAAATCTATTCAATTCAGTGTAAGATTGATCATCAATCAAGTAAGTATTTCAATCTTTAACATGTTGAATGAATTTGTGTTTGAATTGATTAAGAAGATAATGGGACATTGTTCTCTGGAAATTAATCTATAGTTCAGGTTTCTTGATTTCAAAATTCTAGACATTGTACAAATTCGACAGATTCAAGATTATACCTCGAATAGATTGTTCTATCCTCAAGACAGATCCATACCCTAGAAACTTCTATCTTATGAAACTACTTGCAGGTCTCAATCTCTACAAAATTCATGGTTGTGATTTTTGTGTAAACACTTTCAAGTATGTTTTCTATATTGAAATTCTTGTGATATTTTTATTCAATTTCATTTTCATTACAATTATATGTTTTTTTATTATATACTATTGTCATAACCGATAGAACAAGTAATGGTATTCTCTTTATAAAATATTGTGCTATCATTATGAAATCACACAATACAGGTCAAGGAATCCAAACTTCATGAATGTTAACCATAATTGGAACTTCTGTCATATCAATGCAGTGTGTATTTATGCTCATAACTTATTGAATTTCGACTAGCATATTATATTTGATCAATAAGTAGTATTTGGTTAATTTAACGAAAGGAATGTAACATCTCGATTCCCAGGTATGAGATTTGTTTCCTTAAGCATGTTTTTCCATTTGAAATCGGCGTGTTGGTAGCCTCAACACGGCATGTTCAAAGGACTTTTGGGCCGCACATTTTTATGGACCAACTCGGCGAGTTGGTGAGGGGAACTCGACATGTTGATGGCTAGGTGGGAAACCCTAAAGTTTAGGGTTTTGCACCTTATATAACCTCCTTAAGTCCTTAAGGCTGATCTTTTATCAGCCTCCAAACTCTCATATCGGCCCTTATGAACCCTAATCATCATTCCCTCTCATATTGTGATCTAGTGTGGCATTTTTGGAGCAAAAGAAGAAGGAAGTTGGAAGAAGGAAGCAAGGATCTAGCAATCAAAGCTCTCATCTTCGGTTTGAATCTCTTCTGGACCTTTGTAAGTGTCCAAGATCCGATTTTTATCTATCTATGTAGCTAGATCTTGAGTTTTGTCCTTTTTTCTCCTTATTCTTGGATGTTGCAATGGATGGACCTCATAAAGTTTGCAACTTTATGAATCTCCAAGTCAAGATGACCTTATAGTGGTTTGGATCTGGCTTTTAGTAAAGCTTTGATGCCATGTATGGAGTTTAAGCCATATTTTCCTCTTTTTGACCCATTTTGGGTACAAGACATGCATTGGACATGCATGTTTATAAAACACCAACCTTTGGGTTTATTTTGAGGCTAGGATCTGTTCTGGAAAGGTTGGGTTCCAGATCTCAAGGATTTTGTGCTTATTGGTCAATCCCTTGAATCTTCAAGCCTTGTGAATGGGTTTTTGAGCTCATGGAGTAGCCCTAATGGATAAAGTTGGAAACTTTATTCTTTTTTATAGCATTTGAGGTTAGATCTGAGTCTTGGAGTCCCTGAAATCATAAGATCAGCTGAATATATTAAGCTCGGGAAACTCAGCGAGTTTGAAAGCTAACTCTGCGAGTTGGCTGGGATTTTCCCGACCTTCTGATTTCTGTAAGAACTCGACGAGTTGGGTCTGATGACGTCGTCACAAATCAAGAAATCGAGAAACAGAATTCGGACCATGAAATTGATTTATATCCATGTCTCATCTCGATACGATATCTTGAAGACCAAATGGATAGTTGATCATTTATCTTAGGGTTGACGTCTTAATTGATCAAAGTTTGGCAGTGGCTTTGGAAAGCACGCCTTATTGGTTATTCAAAGACTATACTAGTAATTGTATTTAGCAACTTATCCAAGTGGGAGACTGTTGGATTAAGTGTCTAAGGTCTTAACTAAATCGGTATAATCTCAAAGAATAAAAGTAAAGTCTTTTTTGGGTTGCCCTCATAACCATGAAATATCTTGGATTGGTATTAGGAGAGAGATAAATGATTTATTAATATATTATATGATTAATATATAAATTAGAAATAGTTAATAGTTAATTAATAATTAATCTTAATTAATTTGAATTCATTTTGGATTAATTAGAAATAATAAAAAGTACAAGGGTTGAATTGCAATTGTCCAATAGTTGAACAATGAAGACAATTCTAGATCCTTCCTACTTATGGACGGTTTTAAGGAGTTAAGGAATGGGTTCTGGAAGCCTCCTAAATCAGATAAGGAAACTGTATTTGAATCAGATTACAATACTATTATTTTAATATTCACATATTAGATTTTTAGGTTATCTGACAACTATGTGAAAACGGATCATCTAGCCCCTCATAAGAGAAATCAGATTTCTCCCTCTCCCCTATCTCCTAGGGTTTCGTAGGGTTTCAGGTGTGACACATTAGAGGCTACCACATTATTGGAGCTAGCTTTCCAAGGAGATCTACAAGAGAGTTTCTAGCATCAATTTTTTGTTGCTAAAGGTATGATTCCAATCTTGTAATTTTCAATTTTCATAGCTAGAGTTTTAATTTCATAAGGTATGTTGCTATAATAGGTTGCATGTGCACATAGTGTTTATAAGTAAAATCCATTGTGCAAATCCTTTTGTTGTAACCTAGAAAACACATCACATTTTTGTCACACAACATTTATGACATGCCACTTTTTTGGAGAGGATTGGTTTGTTAATTTTTTTTTAAATTTAAACTATATATTTAACAAAAAAACAAACTTTTCATTAAAATAAAATAGAAAGTTACAACATTTAAAACATAACTTAATACTAGTCTTAAAACTTGACTTAAAATTTGACTTAAAACATAAATCCTACAAATTTTCCAAATTATGTTTCTTCATAATTTCCGTCTTCACTTTCTTTGCCGCTCGACGTTGATTCTCGAGTAATTTTGAAACATCTTTCATCAAAAGTTTAAACTCATTAATTTTTTTGCTTTTTTTTTGTGCAATTTGCAACATTTTTGGATGTGTTCAATCAACTCTTGGAGCCCCTCTCTCTTATCCTCACTGAAACTTGAAGAACCAACGATACCCTTTAGCTTTCTCTTGGCTTGATCTCTTCCCATAGGACGGCTAAGTTTCGTTTTCATTGTTGTCTACCCCAACTTGTACATCATAAGATTGGCTATGAGAGTTTTCGGATGTTTTGGTTCTTTTTTTAATCACACGTAATTACTTCTAATGTGTATTGTTTAAGCCATTTTTGTGTTTCCTTCACAACACTCCAAAAGTCAATAATTTTGAAGGTCGTCTTCTTTGTTTTGTGAAACACTTCTTGAACTTTGGTTAGGATTTATGCATCGCTAGCACTGTTTGGCCAAGAGCGCTTCACGTTGACCAACACACCATTAAACTTCATTGCAAGTTTGCTTGTAATCCTCATTTTGAATATATTTGATCTTTTGTGTGCTATTTTACTCTCTTAATTCAGTCAAGAAAACTTTTCCATACTTTTACATGAAAAGTTTTTCCATCTTGGTTATCTCTAAGGATAAGATCATTTGATGTGTTAACCCGTGCTTCTACTAACACCTTCTCTTCATCCGGTGTTCAAGCTTGGTTGTCGGCCTCCCTTTTTTTCTTTTGGTCGGTTTGAGGTTCGGGTGCATCTTCGGATTCAAATATTGAATCCGAATCAATACAAGGTTGAGATTGGAATGGATTTTCTTGCAATGTTTGAAATGCGTTAAAATCGAGTTAAGGTATGGATTGGGGTTAGGGTTGGTTTGCCCCATATGTATAATATGGAACATTTCAGGGATAGTGATAAATTGGTGGTGAGTAGATGAGTCCATCAAGTTGAGGTCGGTACATCAAAGACAATAAGTTGGTTGACGAAGTTCTTGAAGCTATTTCTTGTTTCTTCTTGAGGTTTTTTGTACATCAAAGACAACAAGTTGGTTGACGAAGTTCTTGAAGCTATTTCTTGTTTCTTCTCGAGGTTTTTTGTTCGCTAGGAAAATACATTTGAGAAATAACACTTGAGGGATTGAGAAAGGTTGATATTGTAAAGGTTGGTATTGTAAGAATTGGAGGTTGATGTGTATTTATAGTAATTGGTTAAAAAATTTGAATTCTTTAAACATAAGCTAGTTTTTTTTTTTTTTTTTTTTTTTTTTTTTTTTTTGAAAAAAATAATAGTTGAAATATATAATGGGATAAAAGGTGGTTGAAAATGAAATTTGATAACTTTAAATGGTGTGAACCGGAAAAAAAATAACAAACAAAAAAAAAAAAAAAAATCGTTAGCTACCTTCCCTCTCTCCTCTGTCGGAGGCGATGTGTGACGTGTTTGCTATACCATTGCCGACATCCTCAAGCCTTAAGCCCTAAGATATCGACATCGAACACTTCAGTTTTTTCCTTTTCTTTTCAATGTCTCGAGACGAGCTTCAGCATTTCGGTGCCAAATGTCAAACAGCCATTTATGCAACGTCTTCCAAGACCACACGTGTCAATCTCTGCATGACACGTGTAAAACCCCTCACATATTCATCTCCCATTATCATCATCATAAATCCTCACCTCTCCGATCCCGATTTTAAAACAGAAGCAACACGGATATGTTCAGCGCCATCAAATCCTTTCCGATTCAAACCAAACCAGCCGTTTCTACTCTCTTCGCCACCTCAAACAACTTCGCCGGAAAAGCAACTCCGGTCTTCCGAACTGTAAGATTCCAACAGGCATCCGCAGGAGCCGAAGAGGCTGAGAACATGGAGAAGAAAGAAGAAGCTCAGGAAGCTCAAAAAAAGGGGTACGACCTCTTTAATTCTCTTAATCTCGTTCTGTAATCAATTTAAACATGAACTTATGTGTTTTTTTTTTCTGTTGGGTTTCATTAGGGATGTGATGTCACATTCGTTTGGGGAAGGGTACGCTACGAGATCAGATGAGGAAGGTTTTGGAGGAATTTACGGAGGCAACCAATCGCTTTCTCATGACGATGAAGATAAGGACGTCCATGGCAATCATCCTGGTAGATTTGTTGATCACATTTGAATCAAAGAACTGATTTTTTTTTTCAATTCGTTTAATTGATTTGCTGTTTTTAATCTTGAAGATTATGACAAGACACAAGGAAGTGAGGTGAAGGAGAAGGAAAAAGCTCGACATCAAACGCAGGCACACTAGCTCTTGAAGAGATGAGGGAAGAGAATGAGTTTTAATTTTTAGTAGTTGTTGAAACTTGTTTCCGATCATCGCGCATCATCTAACTCTCTGCAGATGTAGATATAAGTTGAACTTATTTTGTATTTCTTGCCATGTTTTTGTAACCGGCATATCTTGTATAATATTATACGTGTCTTGCTTTTTTTTGAATTTAGGCGTTGTATATTTCTATATATGCCAATATATATATATATATATATATATATATATATATATATATATATTTGAATCAACACTAGAGAAATTAATATATCGAACCTATATATAATATGAAAGAGGATGGTGATAATACATTAGAACATGAGTATGGTCGTAAAACAGTAAGATCGTGATTTTCATGGCTCAAACTATGGGGACCCTTGTTACCAAAACAGTTTACAATCTTATTGTTAAATCACTTTGGCTTTATCGATGACAAGTCGAAGCAATAAGCATAAATCATAATTTGAAATACAAAGCATCACAAGAACTACAATGAGATTTTCCAAAGACGACTTATGTGCATGTTTTTAGGGTTGTACGTGCATTAAATGACGAATGCAACAATTTATTATCAAAATTGTGCATATAATAAAATAATTCTTGATAATGGTGAACAGATTTGATCCTTGTGGGAGGATGCCATTAATATACGCGAGCCTCTAGTGGGAAACTGTCGACCTCATCATCAAGAGTGTTCATGTGAACTGGCCTGTAGTCTAGTCTCACCTTATCGTTCTAGTATATGCACATATAATTTAAGATCACATATTTTGTATATTCTGTATGATAACTCATACAATCATACATAGAGCTAAATACAAGAAATAGCATTGTACGTACTTTCTTATATTTGTTTATTATAGCATCCTACTTTGATTTCTTTTGATTACAACATTGCACTTTTAGTAAAATTTCTTATTAAGACATTCAACTTTGAAAATTTACTCAGTTATAGCATTGTACTTTCAAAAAAAAATGTTATTAGAACATTATACTTTGATAACTCTAACCATTTATAAGATATTACTTTCAACTTGTTTCTTAATAGAAGATTAAAAATCTAACCAACTTGTAGCATACTCTTAATTTTTCCGTATTAATATTCTAAAAATAATCTACCCAATTAGAACATTGTACTTCAAATTTAATTTTTTTCTTATTAAGACATTATACTTTGAAAAATTGCCCAAATGATAGCATTATACTTTCAATTTTTTGTATTAGAACATGGTACTTCAAAAAATTTACTCAATTATAGTTTTGCAAATTGCTTTGTATTTGAATGTCATTGCTATAACTGGTTGATTTTTTACTGTAATAGATGAAAGTGGAATGCTATGAAAAATAAACTAACAAAAGTATCCTGCAATTTCTTGCATTCAACCCCATTCGACCTTGTAGGACTTGGGTTTTGTTGTTGTATGTATATAAGAGAAGAACAGACTAAAAATGAGGTATGAATGTGAGGTAATATGAGCACCTCTACTTTCTTTCCTGGTTTCAGCTGAATGCATGGTGATACATGCATTAATCAACAGATTTTCCATCTTTATTGTCTCTAGCCAATATATATTCAATTGTAGATGCCCCATGAAGTTTACCATATCAAACTTCTGTCCTGTAAGCCAATATGGTAAGAGGGAATAATATATATATATATATATATATATATATATATATATATATATATATATATATATATATATCATCTTACTTTCATTACTTCCTGTTACAGCATTGTACTTTGAAAAAACCACCAATTATAGTAAAATATCATTCAAATACAAAGAGAAACTTTCTGGTATACTTCCTAGTAGTATTTTTAAGGGCTAGGAAATATGTGGCGGGTATGTAATAAAAATAATAATGCAGGGGCATTTTGGTCATTCTATTAGATTAGGTTGGTTGTGTGAGTATTAACTGGTCGGTATTAGGAAATTGGCATTTTGAAGTATATTTTGGTGAGAAATCACTTTAGGAGAGATCTTGACCTCTCGAATTTCAAGAATAGTTTGTAATCTTACATTTCTATCTTCAATCATTTAATAAAACCTTTCAAATTCAGAAGTTAAACACTAGTTTGTACCACTTTCACTGATATAACTAGGTATATTTTTTGAAGTATAATGTCCTAATAAGAAAAAGTTTGGAAGTACAATGTTGCAATAGAAAGAAATGGAAGTCAGATGCTATAATACACAATCAAATGGAAGTACATTGTTATTTCTAGCATTTAGCCATAACAATTTTGCATATCAGAATATACCATAGACAAATGACTAGCTACTTTAGGTAGTTAACATGAGACCTTACATTAAGATGAACAAAGTTATAACAGGATTTTCAACTTAACTCTAATTGACAAGATGATCCAATTCATGGCCGATTTTGACTCGGATACGGCTCCAAATTTAAAACGATGAATAAGAAACAAAAGCTTAAAACTATAACACTGTTTCTTCTTATACGTATAGTACTTGTACTTTTTTATATAATAGCTTATTTTTGCTGAAAATTTATCATTTTCATATCAATTCTTTGTGAATTGGCTTCCCCGGGCCTTCTGATATTCTCAAAATCATCCCATCACTATTTAGCCGGACATAGGTTGTTTTGCATTCTGGGGTTTGTATCTCGGATGTAAAACCCCATAACTCAGCAAGCCCTCTTGACCCAGTAATATGTAGATCTTTCAGCAAAAAAATGCTCTTCGGAAGATGACTTATGCTTGTACCTTGTATATCCAACTCTTTTAAACATTCGAAACTTCCAAGTTCCTCAGGCAATTTCTCAACTCGAATACAATAGGGGAGATGGAGATATTTTAGACATTTCATCTTACCGATGCTATTCGGGATATCTTGTAAAAATTCACACTTCCTTAGGGATAGCTTCTCTAAACATTCTAATCGTCCAAGATCCTCAGGTAACTTCTCAAGCAAAGAACAAGAAATAAGCTCAAGAGATTTCAGATGTTTCAACATGCAAATGCTATCCGGAAGATGGCTAATCATTGTAGAAGATAAAGTTAGATCCTCTAGACATTCTAATCGGCCAAGATCCTCAGGCAACTTCTCAAAAAAACAACAAAATCTAAGTTCGAGAGATTTCAGATGTTTCAACATATAAATGCTTTCCGGAAGATGCTTAATCTTTGTATATGACAAATTCAGCTTCTCTAAACATTCTAACTGGCCAAGATCCTCAGGTAACTTCTCAAGCCACACACAAAGATTAAGTTCGAGAGATTTCAGATGTTTCAACATCCAACTGCTATCCGGAAGATGCTTAATCGTTGGAGACAACAAAATTAACTCATTGACCTTCGTTGACTGGTCAAAGTTCTTAAGAACCTCTAGAATATTGCCTTCCAGTTTAAGCATTCTTAAACGTTGTAACCCAAAAAGGATTCCTGAAAAGGCCTCAAGGTTTGTGCAAGCACACATACCTAGAGAAATAAGCATCTCAAGATTTCCGGTCACTGAAGGTCGATCTTCTTCATAAAAACAACTAAACTGAAACTTTGGCAAGCTATTGTCAGGGTGAAGTGGGCAATTTTCTAGGGACTTTACGATAATATGTAACTCAGCTAAAGGACCGACCTCAAGTGATTCATCCACACTACAAGAAGTATAATCTTTAAAATTAAACAAAAAAGAGTTCAACCCCAAACAACCACTTATGTCTAGGTGGGCAAGCTTTTTTAGACATCCGATGGTGTAAAGTAGGAACTGTTGTGTATTTGTATTGCTATCTTGTGTACAAGAACATAGAGATACACTATATTTATACAGGAAGATAAAAGTAAGGAGCCCCACATGTACGGAGCTAAGTAACGATATACAAAGGACCAGGAAAAACTAATTGACTAATTCCAACAGGTGTTGAACACGTGCACATTCTTATTAGCCCCCGGCAAGCTCAAGAACGGGATGTACTTGTAGCTTGGTGCAAAGAGATGTAACTCGATTGTCACACCCCGAAACCAGAAAGGCGGAAACATTCCGGGGCGGAGGACGTTATGTGTAGTATCACAACCAATGAATAACAGCAATCATAGCAACACAACCATTACAGTGAATGTTTAAACAAAAATGTTTACATCAGTTGAAACTTGTCTGAAACTTTGTTTGAATTACATCCAATAGCTTTGTATAGTAAAAACTTAAAAACTTAAAAAACTCTTAATGCTTCAGTTTCTCAAAATCCAGCAAGTACCTGTCTACTGATTTCCTGAGAATACAAGCAGTTTGAAAATATCAGCATAACGCTGGTGAGTTCATAAGCAGTAGTTTTTAACAGAAGTGTTTGTATAGTTTCAAGAAAATCCGATATTTTCTTTAGTGAAAACGTAGTGTATTAGTTTTGTAATGAACCATGAATGTCTTGTATGTTTCCAAGAAAATCCGATATTTTCTTTAGTGAGTAAGTAGCGTTATCGATTCTGTATAAAACCATGAATGTTCGTTACTGAGAACAGTAGTGATATGCGAAAATACTACCTCATATGACTAGCTAGAGCTAATCATGAAGTATAGGTATTTGTGTGTGAAACCAATGCATAATCGGTTCTGTTTGAAAACCCTGACTTCAGCCAGTATACGTAGTGTGTGTTAGTTCTATTTAATATAAATAAAACCGTTGAAGAGTGTCAGATTGTGAACTCAATGTGATTTATACATAATGTGAGTCGTATAACCATGCTTGATATGACTAGAGACCTTTCCAACGTTCTTCAAGCGTCGAGTTAAATGACATTTGTACATCTCAGGCATGCCCGCCTAACTGTAGCTAGCAGTCCAGATGTGGGATTGTCAGTCCCGAATAGATCTATTCACAAATCTCACGCTCTCCCTCCAGGAGACTCTGGTTATACAGTGGTAGGATTTATCCATGTACACCTGAGGGTACAGTAGTGAAGTAGCGCCTCACAGTATCGTACAATCTAGTTTACATGTAGTGTAGTAGCGTTCTACAGTAGTGAAAATCCGTATGTATACCGTATATAATGATAATTACAGTTATGAATACCATGATAAAGTGGTGATGTAAACTGTAAATGGTTTCTGTCTCAGTGCATATGTTTAACAGTGAAAGTTTCTGTACTTGCTATATTTTTAGAATAATCCCAAACTATACCGATTACAGTTTGCATGAATAGTGAATAGCGTGTCCGGAAAACTATGCAAATTTTTGTGAAAACGTCCCTTATGCTCAACACAGCACAAAAGGGTTATAGTATGAGATTTGCATAAGTTTTGAAAATATTTATGATTAGCTTGTATTCCCCCCCTGAAAACATTGAAAATATGGAAAAATGTAGGGGTATGAGCTCACAGTTCTTGTTGTGAAATCGTTGACTGAAATGAAGATCCTCGAGTTGTTGCACACGACACTTAACGGAATCCTATTATCAAATAAATACGTATATGTATCTAAATTAGCGATTTCGATAGATAAAGTGTCATAAGAACACTTGTATTCGGTTGAGGAATGATACCGGGACTTGATCGAATCGAAGAAGGTGAGTTTTCAGCCAAAAACACCACCAAAAGGTGTTTACGGCCGTGAACAAGGGTTTACGGTCGTAAACTGGGGTTTACGGTCGTAAGGTGGAGTTTACGGTTTCTGAAGACTCAGTGAGTTTACGGCCGTAAACTCAAGAACAAAGTTTACGGTTCTTGAAGGTTGGACCGTAAACTCAAGAACAGGGTTTACAGTTCTTGAAGGTTGGACCGTAAACTCAAGAACAGGGTTTACGGTTCTTGAAGGTGGACCGTAAACTCGAAAAACACGTTGCTGATTGCTGATCTCGAAGAGATAATCGTTTCCAGGCGTTCCCAAGTGACTCCAAACGTGGTTTCTCGATGATTTCCGGAGTTTGAAGGCGTTTTGAGTGTTTACGGTTAAGATTCTTAGAGAGAGAAGGAGAGAGTTTTGGCCAAAAAATGTTCTAATGAAGGTGGAGGCATCGTATTTATAGGGGTGTTGTGGGGGGTCCACTCATCACTGACCGTAAACAGGTTTACGGTCGTAAACGAGTTTACGGCCGTAAACACGTTTACGGTCGTATTCTCACTTAGACCGTAAATGATTGATTTTTCGAGATATTCGGGTTTCCGCGCGATTTATGGTTCCAACTCGTAAATAATTTAATTAAATATAACTAGATTATTTTCTAAACCAAAAAGTTTGACGGAAAAGTTAACAAATTCGAAATTTTATTAACGAAACTCGCGTAACGGAAACGGACAAAGTTTCGGGTTGTCACATCATCCCCCGTTAGAGGGAATTTTGTCCCGAAATTCGAACATAGAATACAAATCATGGATTAGGAAAGAGATGCGGATATTTCTGTTTCATCTGATCTTCGCGCTCCCAAGTGAATTCAGGTCCCCGCTTGGCATTCCAGCGAACCTTCACTATCGGGATGCGACTTTGTTTCGTTCGTTTGACTTCCCAATCCATGATTTCGACAGGTTCTTCCACGAAGTTGAGGTTCTCGTTGATTTCAATCTCGTCGAGAGGAATCACAAGTGTCTCATCAGACAGACACTTCTTTAGGTTCGATACGTGGAAAACAGGATGGATGTTGCTGAGCTCTCGGGGTAACTGAAGTTTGTATGCCACGGGACCGATCCTAGCAAGGATTTCGAACGGTCCAATGTACCTTGGGTTTAGCTTTCCACGCTTCCCAAAACGTATCATGCCTTTCCAGGGTGAGACCTTTAGAAGGACGCGGTCACCAACCTGGAACTCCAAGGGTTTTCGTCTCTTATCGGCGTAGCTCTTTTGTCTATCTCGTGAGGCTTTCAGTCGTTCTCGGATTTGTATAATTTTCTCAGTTGTTTCTCGGATGATCTCAGGACCAGTGAGAGTACTGTCGGGGGCTTGACCCCTGGCTAGCTGCGTGTCACCCACCTCAGCCCAGCACAGAGGGGATCTGCACTTACGGCCATAAAGGGCTTCAAACGGCGCAGCCTTGATGCTGGTATGGTAGCATAGAGGGGATCTGCACTTACGGCCATAGAGGGCTTCAACTTTGTTCCAAGAGCCTTCTGTAGAGACTGCCAGAACCTCGATGTAAACCTGCTATCTCGATCGGAGATGATGGATGCAGGTACACCATGAAGGCGAACTATCTCTTGAATGTAGATCCGTGTGAGTCTCTCCATCTTGAAATTTTCTTTGATTGGCAGGAAGTGGGCGGACCTCGTTAATCGATCGACAATTACCCTGATGGCATCGTGCCCACTCGGAGATCTGGGTAACTTGGTGATAAAATCCATGGTTATCCTTTCCCACTTCCACTCAGGTATTTCCGGCTGTTGAAGTAGACCTGAGGGCTTCTGATATTCGACCTTCACCTTGGCGCAAGTCAGGCACTTGCCCACGAAGGTGGCGATCTCTGCTTTCATGTTTGGCCACCAATAGAGTTGTTTGAGATCCAAGTACATCTTATCCGAACCTGGATGAACGGAGTATTTCGTCTTGTGAGCCTCATTCATGACAACCTCTCTGTACCCGCCGAACTTTGGGGTCCAGATCCGGTTCATGAAATAGTACACTCCGTCTCCTTTGACCTCCAAGTTCTTGTCCATTCCTCGCAGTGACTCACTTGCCACGTTCTCGGGTTTTAAGGCTTCCAGCTGAGCCTCTCTGATTTGCGCGGTTAAATGGGAATGGATGGTCATTGTTAGTGCCTTCACCTTACGTCCTGAAGACTCCTTTCGACTGAGGGCATCTGCTACCACATTGGCCTTTCCGGGATGATAACGAATTTCGCACTCGTAGTCACTGAGTAACTCTACCCATCGCCGTTGTCTCATGTTTAACTCCTTTTGATCGAAAATATGTTGCAAGCTCTTATGGTCGGTGAAGATAGTGCACTTGGTTCCATAGAGATAGTGTCTCTAGATCTTTAACGCAAAGACCACCGCTCCCAACTCTAAATCGTGAGTTGTGTAATTGACTTTGTGTGTTTTCAACTGCCTCGAGGCATAGGCGATGACCTTTCCTCTCTGCATGAGCACACACCCTAGGCCCTGATTGGATGCATCACAGTAGACAACGAAGTCTTCTGTCCCTTCGGGCAGGGACAAGATAGGTGCGCTGCATAGGGCCTGCTTCAATGTTTGAAACGCAGTGTCTTGCTTGACTCCCCAACTAAATGTTACCCCTTTTGCGTCAGGGTAGTTAAGGGCTTAGCGATTCTGGAGAAGTTCTGGATGAACCTGCGATAATAGCCCGCGAGACCCAAGAATTGCCGGATTTCTGTGGGTGTCTTCGGTGCAGACCAGTTCTCAATCGCCTTGATCTTGGAAGGGTCCACGTGTATTCCTTCCTTGCTAATCACGTGTCCAAGGAAATTCACCTTCCTGATCCAGAATTCGCACTTCGAGAATTTCGCGTATAGCTTTTCTGCCCTTAATGTTTCCAACACCTACCTTAAGTGCTGTTTATG